AAGTTCTCAGCAATGCATATTACTAATCAAAAATTAAGCTTTGATATATTTACAGTAGGAAATTTACAAAATATCTTCATGGAACATGATCTTTACTTAATATCCTAATGATTTTTGGCATTAAAAAAAATCAATAATTTTGACCCATACAATGCATTGTTGGCTATTGCTACAAATATACCCCAGCGACTTAAGACTGCTTTTGTGCTGCAGGGTCACATTTATTTCAGCAGCCATTACTCCAGTCTTATTATTACTCCAGAAATCATTCTAAAATGCTGATTTGCAGCTCTAGAAACATTTCTTATTATGATTAATGTTGCTGTGCTGCTTAATATTTTTGTTAAAAACAATTAGATACATTTTTCTGGATTCTTTGATGAGTAGAAAGTTCAAAAGAACAGCATTTGTTTTTTAAATAGTATTTTCATAACAATATAAAAGTCTTTACTGACACTTTTGATCTGTTTAATGCATCCTTTCTGAATAAAAGTATTAATTTCTTTAAAAAATAAAAGCGATACAAATCTTTTGCTTTTCTAAGCAGCCAGACTTATGATTTTTGTGTGTCGTACAATAACATGGACAGGAACACATTCAAACGGACCTCATATAAGGACCAGATTATTATACAGATTTGGACTCTTTTGACCTGGGACAGCTGCATAGCAACACAGTACAAACCACTCACAATACCTTAGCAACCACATGGCCAATGGCAATGCCACATGGCAAGCAAGCCCCACTCACACTCTAAAATCTAGTTTATATGGATCCTCATCTACATGGCTTTCACAAAACCAAGAAAGGAAAAAAGGAGCACCCAAAGGCAACATGAAGCTGCTGTCCTGATTGTCCTGATGTTTTAGTTTTGTTCTCATGATTTGCCAGATAAATAAAAATGGGGCATTGATAGAGTGAGTGGACATTCACAATAGAAGATGGGCGGCACCGTCGAGCCTTATTCATACACCTGACATATGACTCCAGCATTTAAATAGCAAGAGGGAGTTTCAGTGTGCTGTGAAAACAAAGCAGCCCTCTCTCTGTTGGGATGTTTAACCACGGTTTTTGTTGGGTTTGTTCACTATTTCCAAGCACAGGCCGTCTCTGAGGTGAATATGATGTGATCTGCTGTGCATAGCCTCGACAAAAACTGTAGTAAACAAAGCTGTGGCCTTCCACATTATAATAAAGGCAGGTTAATCTGAGTATGATATTAGTAATTTAATCTCTGTGGGAGTCACATATATCTAAAAAGACCTTCCCAAACACACAATCTTGCTTTTTATGCACTGTTTAAACTGAATTAGAACAGACTCCATCTAAACAAAGATGGACACTGTTTCTGTTTTCCGGTTATAACTGGCAGGCATATTTCCAAGTTGGTCACAAGGAGGACATGCAGCTGACTGACATTCTTCCTGGGATGGCTGCTTCCCGAGAGAGCGTCTGCCATGGCTCGGGCTCCATTTCAGATGCGACTGCAGAGATAGAGGAATTCCCTGGGCTGGGAAGTATTGTGAAAGTCCCTGGTCAGGACGACCTCGGGAACAAAGGCCACCCAATCCCTGAAACAGGTGGCCCCTTCGGCTGGCCGTGAATGAAAGGAACATTTGTGCACGCCTCTAGAAACTAAACACTTTTCACAGGGCTCTCTTTTCAAGTTATCGCCCGCTCTCTCTTTCTCTCTCTCTTTGTGATCTATCTATCTATCTATCTATCTATCTATCTATCTGTCTATCTATCTATCATTTGTCTGTCTGTCTGTTCAAGACAAATTTATCCAAAGTGACTCAGAAAAAAGGCACAAAAGCTCTCACTTCGGCAGTATCTTTACACTTTCGTACCTAAAGGGTCCATAATGGTAACTTAAAGGGGTCAAATTATGCGATTTCAATTTTTCCTTTCTCTTTGGAATGTTACAAGCTCTTGGTGCATAAAGAAGATCTGTAACGTTGCAAAGACTAAAGTCTCAAATCCAAAGAGTTATTCTTTTTAAAAGTTAAGACTTGTCCACGCCCTCCTAAAACACCTCGTTTAAACACGCCCCCACATGTCTACATCACTGTGTGGGAAGATTTGCATAACGCCACCCAAATGTTCACGCAAAGAAAGAAGGCGTAACTTTTATTCTCGCTGTAGTATTGAAACTACTTTGTTTGGCCTTCTAAAAGAGGATATAATGTTTCTATAAAGTGGGGCAGTTCCAACTTTGCAAGGACAGTCTGGTGCTTCTGACTCACAGACTGTAAGTACATTTTTTATATTTAAAGAATTTGCCACTGATGATTCAAACGTGAGTTTTGAGCAGTGTAGAGTAGAGCTTGTTGTTTGTCGTTTTTCCGATCACAAATGCAGACATGGTTTTATGTTTAAAAACTGACGCGTTTCAGAAAGGCGGGGCATAGAGGAGAAACAATAATGTACATTATGTGAAAAATAATGTGTTTTTTTAACCTTAAACTGCATAAACACATTGCATTACACCAAATACACAAAATAATGTTATTTTTGGCAACATCATATGACCCCTTTAAGGTATATATTAGTACCTAAAAGGTACAAAAGTGTATCTTTTGAAAAGATACCACCACAGCGAGAGCTTTTGTACCTTTTTTTTTCTGAGAGTGTAGAAATGAAAATCATACAAGCAAAAGTGGTACCATACTAAATTTGTCAAATTTGTCACTAAATACATATATATAACTGCACATTTTAGAGTGGCCTTTTATTGTGGCCAGCCTAAGGCACACCTGTGCAATAATCATGCTGTCTAATCAGCATCTTGATATGCCACACCTGTGAGGTGGATGGATTATCTCGGCAAAGGAGAAGTGCTCACTAACACAGGTTTAGACAGATTTGTGAACAATATTTGAGAGAAATAGGCCTTTTGTGTACATAGAAAAAGTCTTAGATCTTTGAGTTCAGCTCATGAAAAATGGGGCAAAAACAAAAGTGTTGCGTTTATAATTTTGTTCAGTGTATATACTAAGTGAGTGTACTCTTTAATTCCCATATATAGTTTAATATTTTGAAGTATTAATCTATATACGTAAAAAATGCTTCTTAAAATAATATTGTAGTACGATAGTACAAGATGAATTGTGCATATCACTTATAATCTGCTAAATACTGACACTGACTTAAGTGCACTGGGATTGCAATTAGATGATGGATGCAGTCTGGTGAAGCTCTGTGAGACTGTGAGCACAGCAGCCGCTCCTCTTGCGTCCGCTTTGTGGGACACAGTGTGTGTGCACAGACATTCCACAGCCACTGCCAATCGCATGCCAAAACTGCCCGACCCTGCTTTGAACCGGTCCGGGCCAACATGTGACTCAAGTAATCCAGACAACAGTTGTATTTGAGAGTGTGTGAGAGAGAGAGAGAGAGAGAGAGAGAGAGAGAGAGAGAGAGAGAGAGAGTGTGAGAGAGAGAGAGAGAGAGAGAGAGAGAGAGAGCGCGAGCGAGAGAGAGAGAGCGCGAGAGAGAGTGAGAGAGAGAGAGAGAGAGAGAGAGAGAGAGAGAATTTGAGGGATTTTGTCCATAAACAGAAGTCATCTTTAATTATCCTAAGTCATAATTATCCTAGACTGTCATTGTCCATGTAATTGTTGACAAATGTATTATAATTGAAAAATGCTCTGTTGCTCAAGAATAAAAATTATAATGAAAGCCAACTGACTGGGGAATCCATACATACAATACCTATACCTATGACTTTATGAAAACCTATATCCTGTATAAATAGCAAATATTGAACAGTGTCCAGTAATTTAGGTTGGTTTTGTGGGAAGAGTAGGATACCACAAACAGTTTCTTTGTATTGTCTGGTCAAACTGTGTCACAGGGTGAGATATAAACAGCAGCACTGTCCATTTTTTTGTGTTTAGAGACAAAATGTCCTAACAAGATGTTCCATCCCACACCATTGCTCCATTTGTTCTGGTAGCATATGACAACTAAACAAAGATGGGAAGAGAATGCATCCCCTCAGGTATAGAGTCTGTCGACTTTAACCCTCATCTTCTGTTTAGGGTCTGATCATAAAACATATTTCATATATAAAGTACTGGGTTGATACTTCATGACTTTTACTAATCCTATACGAGAAATGATTCTAAACAAACTTTCAATTTCATAACATGCATCCAGTATGTAGCAAGTGTTTCAGAGGCCCCAAGTAAAAATGAATAAATTGCTATGAATTTCTACTAAGATTCTCTTGTTTGTGTACACAATGTAGTGGTTCAGTTTCAGTTTATTTTATTTTATTTTGTCTGCAATGTGTTTTGTTGGGGACCAAATTGGCTCTAAACTGAAAACTTGCTATACTGGATACAAATTTATTATTTTGCTAATACTAAAACCATTAAAATAAACAAACAAAAAACTTTTATTTCAGCTAGTTGCCAACATTTCTATTTTTTATCTGATTCAACTTGATGTAGTAAAAATAACTAATAAAATTGAAAAAAAAAAGAATAAAAACTATTACTATAACTAAGACATTTAAAATGAATGAATGAATGAATGAATAAATAAATAGACAAAACACAACAAATTTGCTGAAACGTTAGCTGAAATTAAAATAAAACCTGGAAATATGAAAATAAAATTGTATTCAAATTATTTTTGAAAATCATATATAACATTATCTCAATGGTACTAAAATAATACTGAATGGAAAACATTAGTTACATTTCTAAAAAGTCCCTATTTTGCTGCACATCAGCACTTCAAAAATATAAAACAGTATTGTTCATAAAACCGCTAGATGTCAAGAAAAAAAAACTGAGGTGTGAGAAATAAAAAGAAAATATTTTTTGAAGTGACTTGATAGAGATAACAGATTGTTTAAAGAAAATAGAATTCGTAACAACGCAAATGATTGGCTGAAATGTAAACGTGAAGTGTTAGGAAGAATCTGATTGGATGTGGGCTCCCTCAGCTAGAGAAGGGTGGCGTTTCCAAGGATTCCGAGTGCGCTCGAGCCCCATCCAACTAGTACCGCGCGCGTGTGTGCGTCGAGTTGGACCGGGGAATAGGAAAACTTTCGTAGTTTTTAATCCACCAAAAACACTCGGATTCAGGACAAGACACGGACCTATCCTGTCGCTTTGACAGTTCTGACGAATTAATGAGTTTTTTGGTGCGCAATGGGCGTTTACGGCGTTACATCAGCGCTTTATTCCCAACAGGTAGGTGCTGGCTAGCCATTACAATACCAGTTAGCCTTTACTTTGTTTTGCTAGCTACTCATGCTAACCAGAGCCCAGGGTTTTGCATATTCCTCAAAACACTCAAACTTCGCCCAACACGCGACGGACTTCATGTGTTCCCTCGTTAAAATGAAGTTCGACACTTTTAAAGTGTATATAAATAGAGTCGGTTGTGTTTGAGTACGCGACATTAATTTACAGCAGAAAGTTTCCAACGCTGTTAGCCGCTCACACACCAGTTGAGTCTGACCACACCACATCAAACCTCTCCGCTTACAATCCGATTAGACTCTCTGTCCAGGGTTATCCTTTTATTTGAACAAGATTAAACTTGTTTAATTAGCTCGTGTGCGTGATACCTCACAGTTTGATACCTCTGAGATTTGAATGAAGAGAATGTGAGGCGCATGTAACCACGTGGCACACGGGAAAAGCTCACGTTTTGCTGGAATAAGCGATTTTAGGGCGTTTTTATTGGCCGAAGTCTATTGGTTAACTTACTACGGTAAACGGGGTTACTTTAAGGCACCTGTCAAAAAAAGAAACCAAGACAAATCGGAAATCGCGTCAAAACGTCTTTAGATATCTTAAAGTGTGCAGAGAACTGTGAATTGATTACAGATATAATGTAATTTCGCTCTGAAGGTTAAAACTGATGTTTCACTTAAAAAAACTATAGTAAAAGGTGTTGTCAAAAATACAAACATTAAATTAAAGTGCTGTGCTAAATTGTATTGTTTTTTTTTTTTTGTAGTAAATAAATGTTTCTGAAGGTTTTTACAAGTTTAATTAAAATTATTATTATTTTTTTATCCCCCAGGGTCTTTTACCCAAACATGTGGAAAACCAAATCCAGTTGGATATTGAAGTGTGATCTTGGAGCTGATTTGAGGAGATTTCTCTAGATGTGGGCTGCAGCGGTGAAATGATGGCAACACATTGGAGGAATTCAGGTGATGAGGAAGAGCTGGATTATGCTGGCGCATCTCCGCACTGCGAGGTGAGACCCGTGGTTTATCCTACTGGATGCTTATTGAAGGAAAATCCCTGCTGGAGGGTCACAATGGTGATGGATCCTGGATCATCATGATCTTTTGGGTTACCAGCCCAGATCTGCCACTGTGAACATAGGGCTAATACCAGTTGTGGACTGAATGAGATGATCTACCATCAATTAATGTTTCTAACCAGTCAGGAATGATTATTTGTATGGAAAATTATGTAAGTTTGAATTCAGCACACCATTTTAGATGAGCTGATCTCTTTTGCTCAACTTGTCACAAATACAGAAAGGCATTTTTTTTTTTGTTGGAGCCATATTTCACACTTATGTTGGAGCGTGTAGCACTGGTTTGGAGGAGAAAAACTTTATGAAACTGGAGTGTCATAGGCATAAAAGTTGTTAGAGAACCCGTGTTAAGCAGATGTTTTTTTTTTTAATAGACAGTTTGTCTTTGATTTGAACTGTGTGCATCTACATCAGCGACTGTGTGCATTATCTGTAGTGAGTGTGACTTCACTTTAGTCATATAGTGAGTACAGGAAAAACACTATTAAAAGGTAATTAACATCAGTGAAACACACCCTGTTTTATCATAAATGAGGTATGGAGTGAGATGATTTTAGATGTAAACAGACAATGAATTTCTACTTCTGTTTCCCTTTTGTGAGACTATTGGTGATGGACCTTGTTCTTTCTAGGGGAGTTCAGGAAAATGTTGTCGGTTTTAAAATTAAAGGCATCAATCTGATGCACATTGTGGGAGCAAAATTAAGAGCTCCTCCAACCCCCCAAATTGAACCGAGTAAATATTCAATGACTTGTACCTGGACTTCAAAGTTGAAGCTCTTTTTAATTGTGATAGTGTGTCAGTATTAGAGGTCGACCGATGTATCGGTTTTGCAGATTAATCGGCACTGATAGTTGATTGCTGGAACTATCGGTTATTGACAAAAATCCATGCCGATAGTTTTCCGGGTTGCGTCCATTGCTGGAGCGGCTGAGAAGGGTCTGTGCAGCCGACAGAAAATCCTGCAGCGCCACAGAGCGCCATTCACATAGTTTTCCTTTAAATTACATTATATTGGTCCCGAATCGTTGTTAATGTACATAATGAATTGTGTATTGTGCATTTTCAGCAAAACGTTTGTCTTTCTGTGGCTCTAATAAAGTCTGTGTGCTTCATTTATAGAGCTATAATATAGGTCGCACTTTCTCTTTCCGTTTGCTCTGTTTTTTAAACGCCGAACTTCAAACTCTATCATAACATCTATACCAAATTGTTCATTCTTGAAGTAAACTTGTCTGTTTGGTGATTAAATAAACTGTTTTAGACCGCTGCTCGAGTTGAACGCGATGCATCCGGAGTGTGTGTGATACCGGTGAGTTCTCCTAGACTCAGCGCTGCGCTTTTATTTTGATTAGATAATCATCGAGTGTTCAAGAATAGAAGCAGTTCAAGTCTGAGAGTATACATAAAATATCCATATGTATATAATTTTAATGCTATAGCCTTTGTGTATATATTTAAAGATGTGCATCATTAAGCATGACAGTTGAAATGAAATGGTAACACTTTAAAATAAGAGTCCATTTGTAGCATTAAGATTAATGAAAGCTGTGTAAGTATTGTTCCTTGTTAGAGTGTGTTAATTTCAACATTTACTATTACTATTATTATTATTATTTTTACTACTACTACTAGTATGGTTCAGTACTGGTTTTGTTAATAAAGCACTATTTTAGTTTTTGTTCAGTATCAATTTTAAAACAATCGGTTAATTAATCGGTATCGGCCAGTGTGGTCCAACCTAGCTATCGGTATCGGCAAAATCCACTATCGGTCGACCTCTAGTCAGTATACATCACATTCACATTGGTGTTTTTAGCAATTCAAGCAATTTGAATGTAATAATTAAAATAATAACAGTACTAATGATTTTATATTATTATTACTACTATTTTGAAGTATTTTGAAATTCTGTAATCATCTGAACACAGTGCCTTGATTCACTTTGAAACGTGCAGCGCAACAGACAATATACCTAGTTAAATCACTGCCTTTTTGATTTGACAAGTGCAAAAAAACATATTTTGATTTTAGTTCATAGCCAAAGCAACTGCACGAAACACAACATAGGTCTTTTATGTTATTATGCAGGGTGTCCGCGGGTCCTTAAAAAGTCTTAAAATGTCTTAAATTCGGATTCGATGGG